TGGAACCTAAATCTCTCCAGCATTTTCATTATATTTTCTTTTGACATCAAAAATTCAAGATATGTTGTTCTAATTATACAGTTGCTTTCACTGTGCACGCTACAATGTAATTTTCTAACCAAAGCAAGACAGATTAGCTTTATTTAAAAACTTAATATTCACACTATTGGGATTATCTATTGCATTTTAATATGGCTGTTAATAAATGCTTAAATGATGTTTTTAAAAGTTAGAAACAGATATATCTATACATTTCATGGCAACAAGAGGTTTTGCTGTTTGTATCATGAGGTCATTTAAAAAATTATACACACACGTAAAACTGAAGCAGCTCCTTTAATTATGCAAGGCTTCATTTGAAAGCTACGTTCAACTGCAACAGAAAATTAATGAAGTATTCTATGTAGTATGAGGGGAAATGAGATGATGTTAACAGCTAAATTTATTAAATTTTGCATTTTAGAACTTGTCTCCAGAGAGCTTTGTAAGTTTCTTAGTAAATATCAAAATATTACAATTATTTTGTCCTGCTTCATCCCATTAGCTTTTTATAGTAAGACTGTGATAGTGCTTTACGAAGTAGTCTGATACCTGTACTGTTCATCAGAGCTGATATTGCATATGTTATAATGCAGGCAATGATCATAAAACTAAAAAAAAGGTTCCAAAGTTATTTAATGTTTAAAAAGTCATTGTATTTGTCTTTTAGCAAGCAGTGAAATCATCAATTGTATTTGACTGGACAGTTATTCCTTTGGTATTAGAAACACTAACCTGTATCTCCCTAGGGTATTATTAGTAAATACATATAATCTTTGGCTAAAGGAAACCAGTAAATTCTCCTCTCTTGGGACTTCATGCCAAGTTGTGCCTTCCAGCCTTTAGTTGACTGGCTGTAGGTAAATGAGTGAACAAGACATAATTATCCTCTGAATATAAAAAAAGGTTCTGAAGTTCAGGGTGTGGTAACATGGTAACAGTCTGTGAATTCCACTGAGTTTTCATAACTGTCGTAAAGTAATAAAAACCTTGTATATGTACAACCCTGATATTACAGCCCTTATTGGGGAAAACTCCCAATCAAGTCAATGCCTGATTTTTCCCAAGTAAGGACTGAAGAGTTAGAGCCCTTTATGAGAGGGAGCAGAATTCTGTATTACATGTGCAAAGAGTGTGTGTATGTGTAAAATGAATCAGTAAACATAAGGAATCTATGTGCATGAATCAGGAATGTACAATGAGGCTAACACATGTTTTCAGGTCTTGGAACTGAGCAGTAATTTTAAACGAACTTTTTAGTACAACAAAGATCACTAATATTTATTAATCCCTCATTGAATGATTTTATAGATGATACCATACACCCACAAATTAGACATAGTTGCACAGATACCATGGTGATTAGTGGTATAAAATCTTATTTTATACACCTACAGTGTATCTTTTAGTATATTGAATATACGTACAACAGAATGAGTGTAGAGACACAAACATTAGAGAAGGTTGTTTTTTTTAAGCAATAGATTACAACATTTACCTGGGACATATTTAATGTTTTCAACAGCTGTTGCTTAGTTCACTGTGTTTCCTTTGCCATATTTATAACTGGAAATGTGCTTCTGCTTAAATAATCTTTTAAGAGAGTTAAATTTAGATGTGCACTTTGAGATAGATGATGATGTGCCTACACCATTAGCTACCTACATACATGCACCCTTGTGTGTAACCAAAATATGTAACTGAGGATGCACAGAATATTTTAGCTCTATGAAAATGTGCCTATCCTTCATTCTAGGTGTCCTTATAAACAAATGGATACAAAAAGTTTTTTAAAAATTACAACCTGAGCGAAGCATAACAAAATATGAAGCCTTTTGGGTAACTATATAACAAACCATTCCTTTAGCAATCAGGTTTTAAGGGACACTTGGCTTGTTAAAATAAGATACAAAATTGTTCTTGATGGAGGCAGATGGGGTAAAAGAGAGAATTTTCATCTGTATTTTACAACATACAGAGGCCCACCCCTTTACATATAGCTAGATAAGTCTTCCATAACTACGATAAAAGGATTATCTGTCACTCCCCTCACTAGTTAGATTTTCCTACAGTCAGATTAGAATGAGGTTGTACATTTTTACTATGAGATATTTGAACTTTGAGTGGTAAGGGGACTTGGTAACACAAAACTGGGGTAATTTTCTGGTTTCGTACATTTTAATACCTGAATTTTAGGGCTCTATTGAATTGAATTTCATATGATTTAGCACTGAGGGAGAGCCCGTATTAGACCTGTCAGCCCCACACCACTCCC